CTCCCCAAAACCCCAAAACCCCAAAACCCCATCCTTCTAACTAAAAATTGTAATAATAATCCAAATGGAAGCATATTTCTCCGGTTCCAAAATAATGTTCCGTACTAGATCGTTCCCAGTTCCAATTCCAGACTGTAATCCCCTTCTAACCTCTAGTTCTCTCAGAAGGAGCTGTTAGGACCAGAGCTGAAGTAGCCGAAGAGCTGCTCACCAGCCAGAACCCCAAGTTCTCCTTCAAGGCAGAAGTTAGTTATGGTGGAAATATCTATGAACCCAAACTTCTCTCAGAATGTAATTATATTTTAATTTTGTAGGCCCTTTACAAAGAAAGCATCTCAAAAATAAGCACTCGTCTATTTTAATAAAGGGTAATGAGACCGAAGTTACCTTAATGTGGAAGCTTTTACCTGAAGAAGAAGATGCCAAAATTAGGATTCATATTAGCAGTTCTAAGGATTCTGCCTTATTAAAAGGTAAGCATAATGATCTTTACTCCTTTTAATTGAACTTTAGAAGATGAAGAATTTCAAACTTCTTTGTTAGCAGATAGTTCTCAGAAAACCCTTGTATTTTATCACCCTTATGATTGAATGGCGAAGAAACTGGTAGACCTTACCAAGGGACTCCCAATAACCATGGTTCAGCCAGGTATGTTTCCTCTTGACTCAAATTTTACTGATTATTGCTAAAATTACCTCAAATTTTATTTATCAATGGTTTCTTTCTTATTAACATTAATCAGTCAAGGCTAAATATTTCTAGCACAATTATTAAATTTTTACTAAATTTGTTTTAGTCAGAGAGAATATAACCTTCTCAACTCGATTGATCATCATCGACCAAGATGGAAGGATCCTTCTTACAAGGAAAAGATGCAATGAAGAATGACAACCAGGATGGGGTATTCCAGGCAAAGGAACGAATCTCAGTCAGAATTTTTTAGAAAGTCAAGCAAACAATTTAGAAGAGGAAATTGGTTTAAATATTAAAACTTTCTTTCGTGATTTTCCTCATTTTGGTACTTTGAGTAAAGATAAAGCTCGGAACTTTAAAGACTTCTTCTTATATGAAAATACAAGCGACAGAAACCACGAGCAGAGTCTGTCGATAGCTCATCATGAATTTATCCTATATAGTATGCTTCAGATAGATTTACCAGCGAGTAAGATTCATCTAAAATTTAGTGGTAACATATCCTGAGCCTTCACAGCTAATAAGAGTGATTAATATCTCTAATAATTTAGAAGGATTTGTATCAAGACAGTAAAAAGCACACACAAGCGGAGGCTACAGATAAATAGAATAAGTCATTATAACTACCTCACCGAGGCAGCTCGAGTTAGAGGTGAACTCAACCCAGAAGGAGCAAGATTCAAACCCAAAAGAGCACTAAAGGACAAAATTGAAAAAGAATATAAGAAGCATATAAAAGAGAGCATTAAGCCAGAATTAAGTAAAGATTGAACCGCAGGTATATTTTTCAGATTAATTCCCTTTAGATGCCTTTGCTTGGATACATTTTGAACAGCTAAGTAAGCTAGATCTAATATGCATGCATTTTTAGTCTTTTAGTTGAGATGAGAATTGAGAATTACACTTGAAAATCTTAGTGATTTTTCTTCAATTAGTCTTCTTCATTAATCTTCAAGGCTGAATAGGATAAATAAGTAAATTGGTTGTAATTCTTCGATTATTGCTCTAAAGTTCTTGATTGTTTTACTTTCTATATTTTTGAATTTTAGTAAATTTTCACTCAGGAAATATATGAAAATAATAGCTAAATTAATAGTCTAATGACAAATTAGCTTTCAAACTCTATTAATGCCTGCCATCCCAATTCCTAAAATCTAACCCCTCCATTTCTTCTCATTTAAGCCAAGCTACCATTCCTCTTCCTCATATCAACCCTAAAACCCTCCATTAAAACTCCATTTTTCATAAATTTACCTAAATCCCTTAAGAATCCCACTAATCCCTCTTCTTGTCATCCGTAACCCTCTTTGTGCTAACTTTCCTCCACAGATGCTCTCATTCGTTCAAATCCCAAGTATGCCTTAACATTAGCTCCTTCTGAAGAGACCAAAGAGCCAGCTTTAGAAGAAGCCTATCCAGAAATCCTTGAGTCCTCTTTTAACTTCTATATCTTCAAGGACGACAAAGAAACTTGAGAAAGAGGTAGTTTTAAGAAGTTATACCCAGACTATCCTAATAAATTCACTGGTGAAGGAATTCTTAGAGAAGACGTACCTGCAATACTCATGTTAATAAGCAATTTAAATGGAACAAGAGATTTTAAAGCGTTACATACATAAAGAAAACTCTCCTTCAATCTCTATTTTACAGTATCATTTAAAATCTCCTTTACTTCTCTTACCTAAAGCACACTGATTAAGTAGTCCATTAGAAATTGAGTGTTGAGACAGCTAAAGATAAAAGCCTCATCAGAAGCATTGGACTTTCATATAGAGTAGTGAAATTAGTTTTCCGTTGAGTAGCTTAATTCAGAAAATGTATTCCAAGTTTTATATAATATACAAGTGAAATTCAATAAACTATAATCAATATGGGGTTTTGGGGTTTTGGGGTTTTGGGG